CACAGTTAACATTGGAAAGCATGCTTAATAGATTTCTCTGGGCAGGTCATAGGAAGCAAATGCATTGGACCAGTTGGCAAAAGCTGTGTGGAAGCACAAGTGCTGGCGGGCTGGGTTTTAAAAGTCTTATACAGATCTCTCAAGTCAATTTTTGTAAGATTTGGTTGATGTTCAAAGCTCAGAGTTCTCTTTGGGCTAAATTTTTGAAGAGCAAATACTGTAGAGAGATGCACCCCTCCCTTGTGAATAAAAGACTTGGGGATTCCAGGGCCTAGACCAATATGCTAAAAGTAAGATCTCAGGCTGGAAACCTATTAATCTAGAAAATTGGAGAGGGCAAGCTTAATATTTGGCTGGATAATTGGATTGGTGAGGGTTTAATCAACACTTCATCCAACCCTCAATTTAATCCTGCAACTCAGATGGCTGAATTATGGTTCAATGGTGATTGGAATCAGCAAGCTTTACAGAATATACTGGATAACAAAACTTTACAGAAGGTTATGAAAAGCAGCATTGATAGAGAAAGTAAAGATATCCTGATTGTGAAAAAGGTGTCCCAGTCTTTATCTGCAGCCATTACTAACTGCTGTTTTCCTCAACATAGAGTCAGTTGGAGTAAATGTGTGTGGAATAAATTCCTATCCCCTTCAATGTCATTTTTATCTTGGAGATTACTCCATGGCTTTCTGCCCACAGATGATATACTGAAGTTAAAAGGTTTGAGAGGTCCTTCTAAATGTGGGTTATGTAAATCCCATGAGGAAACCAATAAGCAATTATTTTTCCAATGTTCCACAGTTAAAAAGGTTTGGAACTGTTTAATTCCCAAACTGAAGTTAGAAACTATTCAATTGTCCTGGAATGATTTCTCCCTCAGCTATGGCAATGAAGAAGGATTGGCAGGACCAAGACTTACCCCCAATTTTTGTATCACTGCTTGGTTTATATGGATGGCTAGGAACAAGATTAAATATGAAGACATCTGGGTGGCAGCTGCTACCATTGCTACCAACTGCATCAGCTATTTGCAGAAATTATATTGTCATGGGAAGCTTCCTGATATCCTTCACAGTACATCCCATAGTCTTCCCAGAAAAATCAAGTATGCACTCATCCATTGGGATCCTCCACCGAAAGGGGGAGTTAAAGTAAACACAGATGGTAGCTTTTCTACTCCTTATGCTGGTATTGGAGGGGTGTTCAAAAATAATAATGGAAAGTGTTTACTCTACTTTCATTCTCCTGTTATTGCTAAGGACCCTTTGGAGGCTGAAACAGTGGCTATTTATTGGGCTATGTTTATGGCCCAAAAGTGTAGCTTCACATTACTTATCTTAGAATCTGACTCCAGGGTTCTTATCGATATGATTGAAGGGAGCTTACCTACTCTTTGGTACCTGTTGCAGTGGATTGAAATGATTCACTCCTTGGGAGAGGGTATTAGATCCTCATACTCCCATATATTGAGAGAAGGTAATAGGCCTGCAATTGGCTAGCTAAGGTTGGCCTTCATTCTGAGCTCCCTGGGGTAGGTACTTCTACTACCCCCCAATTAGAATTATTGTTGAAAGGAGACACTGTAGCTCTCCCTTTCATTAGAGTTTTTTCTATTTAAAGTGTTTGGGAAGGGACTTTTATGCTCCCTTCTCTTGTACCCACCTTTTTCTGTTTAATGAATTAGGAGCTATTGTCTCCTTTTAATATATATATATATATATATATAGAGAAGAAGAGTTGTTTTTATTTCTCCCACACCCATATCTTTCATAGTTTAAATGAAAGAGCATTAAACATCAATCCATGTATCTATCCCAAAATATAAACACAAGAATTGAGAGTTAGGCTCAATCAAATAAACTAAGAATTATATAAAATCTATGTAGTCTGCAAAAATCATTTTATTTATTTGTAAGCCGACCATTTCCCTTATTTAATATAAAAAATTAAATAGGGTTTATATTAAGTTGGTTTTGGAAAAGTTTCCTATAAGGGCAAGCCCTTATTGTTAAGTACATCCTAAATGACTGAAGTCACTCAAGAAAACTCTTGATAAAAATCAGGGTTCATTATCCTTAAGGAGTTCAAAAGATAAGACTTTCCAAAGAGATCAAACAAAGAGGTGTGAAAGGGGAATGACTCAAATTTGCAGCTTCTTACTTTCGAATCCAAAGTAAAAGACTAGGGGATGTCATAGATCTGGAGGATAACCACGGTGACTTCTCAAGCTACCCTATGGTTTGGCTTCAGTTTAGAGGAGAAATACTTAAATATTTCATCCTGCTAATTTTATTAGTTAGGGCTTACATTCATGTGAAACGATCACACAAATAGCCTGGAATATGTGAGGATTTAGGTCATGGCAAACAACAACATCCAAATCCTAAGACAATTTAGAGCTTATATTGTATAGCAGAGCCAAATAAAGGCCTAAAGATAAGTTGAACATTTAAGTCGCACCAGGAGGACAACCTCAAAATTCAATGGCTTGGATGTTTAATTCTAAGTAAAGAATGATTTAGGTGATATAGAAATGTTTTTCTGTTGAATATGGTAGTGCTGCCCATAATGCTAGCTCTAAGCTCCTAGTCGTGGTGAGTTTAAGTTTTCTAATGTGTTAAGTCATGATATTAAATAAAATGTTCTTAAGGGTCATGATTATTTAAATATTATGGGGCATGTTGAAGTTAATTAGAGCGACACCTGTTAGGATCCTACAGTCCCATCATTCTGGTACGACTATTTTCTTTGGATTCACTTAGTCCAAATGAATTTACTAAACTCAACTCAATGAGTTCCATTCTTTCATTTAGAATGTGGTTAGATCATTTAGAATGTGGGAAGTCTTATTAGCAACCGTAGGTTACCTCCTCTGAGGGATTTTCGATCATCCAATAGATACATTTTAATTTAGTTATGATTTTTGCTTTGTTATGTTTGTGAATAAATTTTGAGTTGTCTTATATTTTAAATATTGTGGCACTGAATTTTATTTTTTTTTTATTTTTAAATTTTGGTTTGGTTTTTGTAGCTTTCATAGCAGTTTTGGTTTTAGCATGCATGGTGACATCATTGTTTAACATGCAAATTTGAAGCAAGAAGTACAAAAACGAAAATGTAATAACTTCAAAGCATACCTGTTGACTCTTTATGTTCCTCCACCTGAAAGATTAGTTCTGACAACATGCAAATAGTTTTCTTGAGTAGATGAAGGTATAGCTACCAAACCCCAATTTGTTAGTTATTGAATCTCAGAAGATCTTAGTGGATGACTTTAGAACAAAGATATGGAATGTTCAATTTGCCCTTCAAAACATCCAAGAGACTTCAAAATGCTCGGGGCATGACCCTGAACCACTTTGAAGATTTCTTGAAATATTTTGAGTTCATTTTGGACTTATCAAATTGTTTCATTAATCATCCAAAGTTAAGTTAGGACTACCCCATTGCTCTGAGAAACTTGATATTTTGACTATTTCAATTATAGGACACTCAATTATTTAATTGATGTTTCACTTCAGAGTTATATGAGTGGGTGCCCCTAAAGCAATTTTAAGTCATTGAAGATTGTAGAGCCCGCAATTAAAGTAAGGCTTGTAGTGTTTAAATATGTTAATCACCAATCGTATTATCTTATAAATCCAATCAAATGGGTTTAATCATCGAGCCTGGATCACTACCAAGCCTTTAACAATCACAATGGGGGAAAGAAGTGTTTGTCAAATTTTTGGTTTAAATCATGTGTATTCTTGTTGAAAGATCACATCATCATCAACCATGGAATTAAAAATAAGTGAAATATTGTCTTTCTAACACAAGTCCATGACTTAAGAATCATCCAATTTTGATTATCTTCCAAGCTTTAGTGATTAAGGGAAATATGATTTTGCTTACGTCATGAATAAGGTGGCAAGTAAGTTCCTACCTTTTACCATTGTATTTCAATCATACAAACATGTTCATTAGGATCAATATTACTCATTTATCTTTGGTTAATCCTAAATTTTGATTAAGGCACCAAAACCTAAAATTACCATTTTGCTATTAGGGTTCTTCACTTCATAACTCATCAAGCGAAGCTCAAATGCCTTTGAGAATTTAAAGTGTCATGCCCATGCGATAATTAAAACATCATAGGTGAATAATGTGATTTAACTTAATTTAAATAATTATTTAAGTTTAAAAAATAGGATTTTTACATGTTAATTCATATAACTAACCAAAGCAAAGTTTTTTTTTTGTATATGAGAAAATTATTAGGGGTTCATTTAGGTCAGATAAACACTTAGGCTAAATTTCATGATTCTTAAAATTAAGTTTTTATTATTGTTATTTAATTATTAACTATTTTAAGGATATAATAAAGTAGAGAATAGTGTTTTATTTACAAAAAATATTTTTACAGTCTAATTAAACATCTCTAAATTTAGATAGCTGAGAGAAGCAAATTTTGTATTTTTGGGATTTTTTTTTATTTATTATGATTATTTTAATGAAAAAATAAGGAAAATTGACTTTTAACCTTTTAAAATTTATTTTTAACGTAGAAGAATTAGAAAAGATGTCTCAATGAGTTCTAAGTGATCAGGGGGTAATTAGACATATTTTCAAATATTTTTATATCTTTTAGATTTTTAAATATTTTTTTATTTTTTTAAAATTAAAATAAAAGTAAAAAATCAAGTATTTTATCAAAAATAACTTTTATTTTTCATAAGTGGCTCTGATCACATGGAACTCACAAAACCACCTTTCATAATTTTCTCAATTGTATTTAATTTAATAAAATAATTTTTGTACAAAAATACATGGTTTCCTTAAAAACTTAGTTTTAGTGCTTAAACTTAGGCAAATAATTTTTAAATTTTTACAGTGGGTACATATGATTTTTATAAACAATGTGGAAATGATTTTATCAATTCTTGATAAGTATCCAATTTACATAAATTAAAAAAAGTTGAATGCATTTAATTAATAATAAAAATGCAGAAAATATTTCAAATCATCACATTATTTTTCATAGGCTTCTTTAACCACAGGGAACCTACTAAAATTAACCTCATAATTTTCTAAGTGACATTTTAAATTTATATAATTAAAATAAGCCAAAATAACCATCTTAGATTGAAAATTTGAGTTAAGGGCACAGAGATGCTCTATAACCTTGAAAAAATCAGAGAACATCTCCTCTATGATGAGGAACAAACCCTAAAAATATCATACCTCCAAAGAGTGTTTACCAGTCAAACTACGCATCTATGATGCTCTAATCCTGTCAAAGGAGATGAGAGAGTCTCTAGTTACAGCTTTGCTTGACCTAGAGATCTGCTTAGCTCAATTGGCGAGCACATCCTCAAATTAAGGTTGCTCATTAAAAAAATAGCTTGGGGTAACCTTCAAAGATGAAGACTTGTTGCTTAATACTAAATGGCCTACGCAAAGTATAACAATAGTTGTGATGGTATTTTTAACTTATATTTCCTTATTTTGCAACAAACCAAAAATTTGATCCCCAAGAAAAATAAGAATTTAACTTTTTAATTTATATATATTTAAATTGAGATACTACGTAAGTATACATATCGTTATCGAGTAATATAGGACTTTTTGATTAAGACCTGGTTATCGAACCCACAGGGAGGATTATGCAAAATGCACTTTTTAGAAAGTTTTTTCTATTTTTAAAAAGATAATTACTTAAAAGGAAAACAATATTTGTAGGAATTTAAAACTTAAATATTTTTGGTATTTTTGATATTTTAACGAAACAGTAACCACTTAAAAAGATAACTAAAGTTTTTGTAGAAGAAAAGTACTTAATATTAAAATATCATTCTACTTGTCATGAATTAGTAATAAGTATGGAAATTCTGCTATGGAAGTATGCAAATTGTGTTGTGCCAAATAGGAGCAATAATTTCTTTTGCCCTTACTAGAGATGCTATAAAGAACATTGACTAATTTAAAGTTTGAATAGTTTTGAAGACCGGCTAGGCAAGGAAGATACTAGCTCTCACTCTAGAGTCCCCGCGATTCCCTCCACATGGGGGGAAACAATCTCCTATCAGAACCTAAAAAAATAAGCCAAGTTGGGGGCTTTAACATGTCACTTTAAAGTCCTCTAACTCTACACCCATTAATGAATATTTCCTTATTTATTTTGACTCAATCATATGAGCTACATTCTCATTCATACAACCTAATGTGATTGTTTCCAATTATTGACTGAGATAATACCAGCCCGGTTCTTACATGTTCTCACAACAAATTTTAACATCTAAATTGGCCAAATCAAGAAGTAAATGAAGTGCATGGATTTAAATCATCACAACTTCTTCCAACATTAAAGATCAATACTCTCCACAACTACTCAGAATCCATGGAGAAAACAAAACCACACTTTAGTTTAAAAGAAGAAATCCTTGTCAAACTAACAACAAGTATCAATTAAAACCAAAAGTAGTCTAAGACAAAAAGATAAAAACTTATCTTAAGTCCT